GGACACACGGGGAGACTGGCCAGACCCACCTTTGCACAGCTCCATCGTGTGCATCTTGAAGGGGATGCCGTTCTTCTTGGCGAAGATGTAGACGGCGCGGCAGGGCTGAGACAGGAGATCCAGGTAGAGCTCCAAGTCCATGGCGTTGACAGTGGGACGTTGGGACACTGGGATCACCTCGGACAGCCGTGGAGGCAGGCAGAGGGCGGTCGCAGTAAATAAAGACTCAGGCCCTGCCCCTATGGGGACACAGCCTGTGGGCGTGCGCCCCGCCCTGGGCCAGGGCGGAGGATGGGATCCTTGCTCCGCTCCGGATCACCCGGCCGAGGGCTCAAGAGGGGCGGGTGGGGCGCGGACCGGGGCGCCTGTGGAGACGCCCAACCCTAGGCTGGGGTAGGCGGGAAGGGTGCGGATGCGCGAGCGCGTTGGGCAAGGAGTTGGGCACCAAGGAACCGGGTTACTTTTCGGGCCCCGGGGCCCGGGGATCCTACCCGGTTCGCGCCTCGGCCTGACCGGAAACAGCCGGGGGCCGCCGGCCTGCAAAGGCCTGGCCGCCCGGTCCGAGTGCTGTTTCAGAGCTTTATTTCCCGACGCTGCACAAGGGGCGGAAGGGGGAACCACTGGGAAGGATCTCACAGGTCACCCAGCGGGTCGCCACACGTGCGCGTGTGCCCAGGCTGGTGGGAACCTTGACCGGGAGGCTCGGTTTGTAGGGTGACCAGACGTCCTGCTTTTTAACAATTTGTCCCGCGTCCCGCGGCGTTTTAAAAAAGTCCCAATTTTTGGGAAGAATGCACGAACGGGCGGAAGAACAGTAAGGGAATATACAGTTTTGGGCCGCCATGTGGCTATTTCGCCGGGATATGAGTTTTATATTATTTTTGTTAATTTTATAATGTTAAACTGTAATAATAACAAATAATTGTTGAGAAGTGATTATCGAGAACTGCTTATCAAAGTTTGCATTGTTGTCTGGCCCCGGCTCCCCAATGGTGTCCCGCTTATCAATGTTAAAATCTGGTCACCTTAGTTTTAGGAGACCCTGACATCCAGTAGAAGCCGACTCCCGGCAGAGCAGCTGTGCCGGGCGAAAGCTGAGCTCCCGTCAGGGCAGGACGTGCGGGAGCGCGGCCCTGTTGGGGGTTGCTCTGTCGGTCTCCGTTTCTTCCTCTCCCTCCCCACCCAGACCTGGGGTCTTCCCAGGGCCACGGTGCTGGCCACAGGCCTGGCGCCCGACTCCAGTTGCATCTTTCAGAGTTGCCCATTCGCTGGGCCAAGACTCAAGCAGGGGAGACACAATGCTTCCCTGGGAGCTTTGAAATTGGAACTCAGGAGACAGGAGTCTCCCCTCTGGGGAGGTCCTGGGAGCTGGGCCACCTGTAGGACATTCCCAGAGTTCAGGGAGTTTAAGACCGTCCTGAGCAAGAGTGAGATCCCTTCTGTACTAAAAATGGAAACATTAGGCAGCATTGTGTGGGTGCCTAGTTTCGAGGCTGAGGCAGGAGGATCACTGAGCCCACGATTTTGAGGTTGCTGTGAGTAGGCTGATGCCATGACACTCTTGCCTGGGCAGTAGAGTGAGACTTTATCTCAAAAAAAAAAAAAAAAAAAAAAGGGCTGTTGATGAGGGCACAGAAGAAATGAACGTATTTTTAGAAATTGAAGACAAGGTGATCACTCTCTATTATGGGAGCCTATATAGAGGCAGAAAGCTTAGCTTGACTATGTCCTTGTGTGGAAGGCAGAACTTGAAGTGATGAACTTGCATATTTAGCTGAGGAGACTTTCTTTTTCTTTTATACTTGAGATTTTATTGGTTGTGTTGAGCATTGGTACAGACATTTCAATTTGTACACAATTTTTTTTTTTTTTTTTGCAGTTTTTGTCAGGGGCTGGGTTTGAATCTGCCACCTCCGGTATATGGGGCCAGTGCCCTACTCCTTTGAGCTACAGGTGCTGCCCTGTACACAATTCTTAAAATACATACCCAATCACTTTTTAAAAAGCGATTTATTGTAACTGTTTTATTAACAGTTATTTCAGATTAAAATTTGGAGGTAAATTTTCCTTAAGAGAATATCAAGTACCAGTATCTTCAAGTGTTGATAAGCTGTTAGGTAAGTCCCACCAATTCACACTTTATTGCCATATATGCTACATGCTCAGATTTTTAGTCCTTTATAGCACAGTGACAAAGTTATTAGGAAAACAGGACTACCAGAACCAAAGATGTTACAGAGTGTACACAATGCTGACTGGAGAGCCATGAACAGGAGTGGTTTTCTGTAGGAAGAAATTCTACTAAAAAACAACATGGGAATAGAAGTAATTCAGAATGTTCAAGACGTTAAATGCAGGACTGGGACTCCATATCGCCGTTTAGTAAGCTTTGTGTTACGGGAAATAAAAACAAACTCCCATCTATGGAATGTTAAGCTCACACTTAAGCTTTGCACTTTTGTTGAAGCCTCCCATAATTCAACATTCCACACTATTTTCTGGTTGTACCAAAAAATAAGCAACCAGTAAATGATTTCACCTCTTTAAAAAAAGCATTTACACTCAAAAAAAAATGGGATGAGGTGGGATTCCCTCCTTCTTAAAAGTGTTTCTAGAGCTACTAAGAAACTTGCATTTACAAAATAGTTGATGAAAATATTCCTCTGGATTGCACAAGAAGAGAGAAAGGGGCCATGAATAGACATGGTAATTAATCAGATAGTAATCAGTGTGTTCAGTGTGTGATAGGCATCAGGCATCACACTCTCCTGCTGCGTCAGTGGCTGGTCTCTCCTCAGTTTTTGTTTCTGTTTTCTGTAGGTAAATCTTTAGTTTCTTGATTAGCCATAGCCTGCTTTCCCTTTGCTCCCTGGTCCCTTTCGTTTGGGCTTTTTGGTCTGAAGAGTTATGCCTTGCTGCTGCCTTTTTTTGGCTTCCTTCCCGTATAGCTGACAACCACGCCAATCTCCTCTTGAGCTCTTCCTTCCCTGTTCCTTCGGCAGAGCTGACCTTCCTCTTCAGCATCTTGGCACTGGGCAGGGCGCACCAAGCAGGGCGCACCAAGAGCCTTCTAGAAGCTGCGCTACCTAGCCAATGCAGTTCCCACCACCACCCAAGCTGCTGAGACCCCAACTGAGGGAACTTTCAAGAAAAGTGTTGAAGATGTAGGCTGGTTTTGTTAGGTCCAAAAATTCTCCCAAACAGCCCAAACAGACGAATTCGAGACACACTCCGATGTAAAAGGCATGAGGTGAGGCTTTATTCAGACCCGGGTCTGGACTCTCCTGGCATGCAAGCCTAGGACGAGCCCCGAACTCGGAGTAGAGCAAGTTTTTATGGGGTACAGAAAGCAAGAAGGGTAGGGTCTGTTACGAGTACACTCTTGATTGGTGGTTGGTGATTTCACTAGTAAAGGAGGATTTGGATTGGTACAGGTGAGGGGTAGGGGATTTCTTAACCGGGGCTAGAGGTGGTGTAGCCTAATTAGGAAGGAGAATACCTGAATTTCAAGGAAGGAGAAACCTATTGTCTATTATGGGAGCTGTTCAAGGAAACTGATACTTATTGTCTATTATGGCAGCTGTCTGTCTTAGGTGACTCAATTCAACTGCTTAATGGCTGTGCAACCAGGGGTTGGGGGAGACAGCAGGGAGTGGCCCTGCGGGTTTAACAGAGCTTATGTAGTAGACAACAAAATGACACTGGTCTGGTCCTTATAGTTTCTTCTTACTGTTTATAGTTAAAAGCAAGGGGAAGGAGGTAAAATGCAGGAAAAGCTGTTAAGCCAAAAGCAACCAGGATTGGATAATTTGGGAAATTCTCAGCCTGTCTGGATTATAAATAATGATAAAATGAGGAGACTCACTATTTGTAAAGTGCAACCTCTTTCCCTGTGCTGATAGTCACTGAGGACTTTGAGCCATAGACAACTTTTAATCCCAGGTTTCTATGGGCTGGAGGGCACGGTGGGGAGAACCTTAGTTTAAATCCTAATGCTGTCAGTCATTAGCTTGTGACCTTAAGCATGTCATTAACTTCTTTGAGTTCTGGTATCTATGGCCGTCAAATGAGATGAAAGAACACTTATAGTCTCATTACAGGGCATAATTTTTAAAATATCTGTGAAGAATCACCGCACACCATGCCTGGTTAGACGTCAGTTTGTTTCTTTCCTTGGATTTGTATTTTGTGCATATTTTTCATATATTTTTGGGGGTTTTGGCCGGGGCTAGGTTTGAACCCCCCACCTCTGGCATATGGTGCCATCCCTACCCTTTTGAGCCACAGGCGCCGCCCTTCTTTTTTTTTTTTT